GCCTCTACCTCCCAAGTGCTGTGATTACAGGCATGTTCCCCCCCACCCCCTACCCCAGCTATCAAATTATCATATATCTATGGGTCGTCCCCCCCCAAACAGGGTTTCTCTGTGGCTTTGGAGGCTGTCTTGGAACTAGCTCTTGTAGATTGGGCTGGTCTCGAACTCACAGAAATCTGCCTGCCTCTGCCTCCCAAGTGCTGGGATTCGAGGTGTGCACCACCAGCACCCGGCTCAAATTAATTTTTTTAGTCATTGTTTTCAGCAAAGTTGCCATAGGTATTTCGTAAGTTTAGAGCTTCAGTTATATATCTTTGATACAGCCTTTTGTTTGTTTTAGTAACACAAAATACTGCCCTTCTAAGGACAGTAAGAGATAATTTATTCTGAACCAAGTATGAGTGATCAGGTTCCAGGAACACAGATTTAGGTTACCCTAAATCCTTGTCCTTGCATGGAAGCAGACTATGAGCTTGTATAGATGAAAGGCAAAGGAAAGTAAAAAATTAAGACATTTTCAAAATCTGTTAGTTGGAATTAGATAGATTACAGCAAATCAAGGAAAATTGCATTCTAAGCAAGGGATGTTATCAGATGATATTCTTAGCTTTGTGCTTTGTGGAAGCTAGGCTGTGGCACTTATCTCCACAAAGGTTTCAGCTGACAGTCACTGAGGATGTCGGGTGGACGTGTGTAGACAGAGATTTCTTTGAACCGCCAGCTCACAAAAAAGACACACTTATTAGGTTTCAGCTGACAGTCACTGAGGATGTCGGGTGGACGTGTGTAGACAGATATTTCTTTGAACCGCCAGCTCACAAAAAAGACACACTTATTAATTATTAATTATGAAAGCTTGGCTGATAGCTTAGACTTGTTCCTAACTAGCTCTTATAACTTAAATTAACTCATTTATTTTAATTTATATTCTGTCTTATGGTGTTACCTGTCTTCCATCTTGCACCTCCTGTTTTCTCTCTCTGTCTCCTGGCAGCTCCCTTGTGTGTAGATTCTTCTCCTCTTTCTTTCTCTCCTGCCTAGCAATTGGCTGTTCAGCTTTTTATTGCTCCAGTAACAACAAATATATCTTTACACAGTGTACAGATATCCCACAACACAGGTGGGCAATAAACCTGCTGTCAAGACATCCCAAGATAGTTTGCGTCTGCAGCATCCCCACTCTCCAGGCTCATAAAATTTTCATTAGTCAGCCTGCCTTGTAGAACCTTCAACATAAACATAGCTTTTATCTGGGCATTTCCTTTCAATTTTGTTTTACAGTGCTTGGAATAGAACTGGGGGGGCACACTGGCAAGCTGTCTGTCACTGGCATAGACCCCCAGCTAATACAATCATTTTTACTAGTAGACACAATTCTTCCTCACCTCCCTATCAGTACCCTAATTTCTACCATTTCTCTCTGTAGATTTCTCGGCCACTGGTGTTTAGACAAACCTGAGTACAATGACTCTTCAGGAGTTGGTGCACCATGCTGCCTCCATGTATTTGAACAGAACAGCTGTGTGTTTTGATGAAGGCAACAGTCAGCCTCCACTGTGTTACACTTATAAGACTGTGCTGAATGAGGCTTCAGAATTATCTCATTTTCTGCTAACACACTGTGACTTTGGAGGAATTCAAGAAATTGGTCTCTACTGTCAACCTGGGATAAATTTACCCTCCTGGATTTTAGGGTAATATTTCTAGTATGAACTGATATTACTCTAAGCTAATTTATAATTTTTAATAAATAGTGCAATTTTATTAAATAACAAATTTTTAATAAATTGTAAGCTATTCTGTTTACTGTTGGATTTTTTGTATTAGTTTGTCAGTTTTCTAAAGAAGTTAAAGTACACATTTATCCTAGTATTTTTAATTATTGAATTATTATAATAATTTAAATCATTTAATTTGTGCTTATTAAGGAGAGAGTAAAGGTTTTCACTAATAAGAGTATTTAAATATCTCCAAGGTATAAAGGCCTCATTTGTCTGTCAAAAGAAAACAGCTAAAGCATTATATAACTGTTGTTAGATCAAAGAGAACCACCAAGACATCACTCCAGTCCTTGTTAAGTCTTTTAAAATGTTCTGTTTCTGTATATAAGTGTTAAGAGCTCTCTCTCTCTCTTTTTTTTTTTCCAATACTGGGCATTGAACCCAGGGCCTTGTACATGCTAAATAAACTGTACAACTGAGCTACATTCCTATCCCAAGTTATAAGAAGTTAAAATAGAATCTTACAATACCCCAGATACTCATTGGGTGCAAGATAAAATAATCATTTAGAGCTAAGACATGACCCTAAAGTTTGTGAAATGCTAACGAGCAATGAAGTAGAAACAACAAAGTGCTTACGGCGAATTCTACTCACTCTGCTGGCTTTGCACTTGTCTTTCAGGATTCTTCAGGTCCCTGCAGCTTATGCACCTATTGATCCAGACTCACCACCGTCACTGTCAACTCACTTTATGAAAAAATGTCGTCTGAACTATGTTCTTGTTGAAAAAAACCAGGCTAATGTAAGTCTTGGTGTTTAAATGTTTTGGAGGTGTGTGAAGTGGAAGGGAGAGAGGGGAATGGAGAGAAGGAAGAGAGAAAGAGAAAGAGAGAAAGAATATTTTGAGTTTATGTGTTCTCTCAGCTGGGATCTCTGATGGGCAGTGGTGGTGCATGCCTTTAATCCCAGCACTTGGGAGGCGGAGGCAGGCAGATCGCTGTGAATGCAAGGCCAGCCTGGTCTACAAAGAGAGTTCCAGGACAGCCAGAGCTGTTACACAGAGAAACCCTGTCTTGAAAAAACAAAACAAAACAAAACAATTCTCTATATTAATGTGTTAATATTTGTAAATATCTCCTCTAACAGAAATTCAAATCTTCACATGAAACAGTTTTGAACTATAACATAGTTTCAGTGGAACATAAAGACCTGGTGCTCTTCAGACTTCATTGGGAAAACGGTGAGGTGACAATGCTCAGTGATAGAGAAGATAAATCCGAGAACAGCAGTGAAGAGAAGGCACACATGGACATTCGGCAAGAGGGTTGCTTGGCTTATGTCCTACATACCTCAGGGACCACAGGGACACCGAAGATTGTCAGAGTGCCTCATGCGTGCATACTACCAAATGTCCAGCACTTTCGGTCAGTTCTGTCTTCTGAATCCTTCTTAGAATTTGTGCTTTAAGCTGGGTATGGTAGGACTCACTAGAAGTCTCAGCATTTGAGAGGCAGAGGCAGATTACAAGTTTGAGGCCAGTTTGTGCTGTGGAAAGACACACTATCTCAGGAAAACAAAACAAAATAAAAATCTTTCATTTTAGCCAGGCAGTGGTGGTGCACACCTTTTTCACAGCACTCAGGAGGCAGAGGCAGACAGACCTCTATGAGTTCAAGTCCAGCCTGGTCTACAAATCAAGTTCCAGGACAGCTAGGGCTGTTACACAGAGAAACCTTGTTTCACAAACAAAAATAAACCAAAAAATCTTGTATTTTAAAAAAGAAAAATAAATTTAAATATTTGTTCTTGTCCTTTGTAAATCTTTTTTTTAAAGATTTTATTTATTATGTATACAACATTCTGCTTCCATGTATATCTGCACACCAGAAGACGGCACCAGATCTCATAACAGATGGTTGTGAGCCACCATGTGGTTGCTGGGAATTGAACTCAGGACCTCTGGAAGAGCAGTCAGTGCTCTTAACCTCTGAGCCATCTCTCCAGCCCCATTCTTTATAAATCTTGAGCTAAATGGATAATCCTAAATAACTGATCAATGGATCTGTATTGTTTGATCTGTATATTGTCTTTAGTCCTCTGCAGACAAGGCATGTACTTGTTGACAGACAATCAGAGAACACACAAATGATAGGACAGAAGCCAAGTGCGAGTGCGTGCATGATTGGAGTTCTGATCCCAGGACCCATGTAATAAGCTGGGCATCCTACAAATGCTTCTAACCCTAGCTCTTATTTTCTGGCTGCTAGCATCTTCCCCTCACATGTTTCTGCATATGTAGCACACACACACACCACCCACCCACACACCCACACCCACCCACACACACACACAGGCACACAGACACCACACATCACAGACACACACACCACATACACACCACACACACATATACAACACACACACACACACACACACACACACACACACACACACACACACACACAGTCTTAAGAAATAAAAATGAGAAATAAACAGAAGGAAGATTCTACTGAAAGGAAGTCAGAATATAAGAGTGTATTATTATGAGGAATTGGCTCATATAGTGTGGCTGAAAATGTGTGGAGGCCATGTACACAGCTAGTAGAGAATCACTGGAAGGCTGGAATCCCACAGGCATGAGACTGTTCACAGCATAGTCAGAAAACACTCAGATGGGGTGGGAAATTAACTGTAGATCCAGCTGCTGCTGCTGTTTGTTTTAAAAAAATATTTTAATTTGTTTTTAATGATGTATATATGTGCATATCTATACTTGTGAGTATGTTATGTGTGTGCAGAGGCCAGAGACTGATTCCTTCTCGAGCTGGAGTTAGCGAGACTGAACTTCCTGACCTCTCAGTAGGTGCTGGAGCAGCAGTATTCTCTGGGCCAGGAAGCCATCTGTCCAGCCCTGTTTGGCTTTTCACTAAGGAGATCCAGCCATTTCAGGCTTGATAAAACTCAGCTGATTGCGGACTGGAACGTTCAACTGAATAATTCTCAAGAGTGTGTACTAAGTAGCAGCTGCCAGCCTTCTAGTCTCTAATTTCCCTCTTAAAGGGAAACCCATATAGCTAGTGATTCACATTTGTAATCCTAGTGACTGGAAGGCTGAAACAGGAGGATTGCTGTGAGTTTGAGGCCAGTCTGGGCTACA